TAAGCATGTGACCTGACACCTGCCCCAGCAAGCTAAGCATGTGACCTGACACCTGACTCAGCAAGCTAAGCATGTGACCTGACACCTGCCCCAGCAAGCTAAGCATGTGACCTGACACCTGACCCAGCAAGCTAAGCATGTGACCTGACACCTGCCCCAGCAAGCTAATCATGTGACCTGACACCTAACCCAGCAAGCTAAGCATGTGACCTGACACCTAGCCCAGCAAGCTAAGCATGTGACCTGACACTTGACCCAGCAAGCTAAGCATGTGACCTGACACCTGACCCAGCACGCTAAGCATGTGACCTGACACCTAACCCAGCAAGCTAAGCATGTGACCTGACACCTGACCCAGCAAGCTAAGCATGTGACCTGACACCTAACCCAGCAAGCTAAGCATGTGACCTGACACCTGACCCAGCAAGCTAAGCATGTGACCTGACACCTGACCCAGCAAGCTAAGCATGTGACCTGACACCTGACCCAGCAAGCTAAGCATGTGACCTGACACCTGACCCAGCATGCTAAGTATGTGACCTGACACCTGACTCAGCAAGCTAAGCATATGACCTGACACCTGACCCAGCAAGCTAAGCATGTGACCTGACACCTGACCCAGCAACCTAAGCATGTGACCTGACACCTGACCCAGCAAGCTAAGCATGTGACCTGACACCTGACCAGCAAGCTAAGCATGTGACCTGACACCTGACTCAGCAAGCTAAGCATATGACCTGACACTGACCCAGCAAGCTAACATGTGACCTGACACCTGACTCAGCAAGCTAAGCATATGACCTTACACCTGACCCAGCAAGCTAAGCATGTGACCTGACACATGACCCAGCAAGCTAAGCATGTGACCTGACACCTGACCCAGCAAGCTAAGCATGTGACCTGATACCTGACCAGCAAGCTAAGCATGTGACCTGACACCTGACTCAGCAAGCTAAGCATATGACCTGACACCTGACCCAGCAAGCTAAGCATGTGACCTGACACCTGACCCAGCAAGCTAAGCATGTGACCTGACACCTGACCCAGCACGCTAAGCATATGACCTGACACCTGACCCAGCAAGCTAAGCATGTGACCTGACACCTGCCCCCAGCAAGCAAGCATGTGACCTGACACCTGACCCAGCAAGTTAAGCATGTGACCTGACACCTGACCCAGCAAGCTAAGCATGTGACCTGACACCTGACCCAGCATGCTAAGCATATGACCTGACACCTGACCCAGCAAGCTAAGCATGTGACCTGACACCTGACCCAGCAAGCTAAGCATATGACCTTACACCTGACCCAGCAAGCTAAGCATGTGACCTGACACATGACCCAGCAAGCTAAGCATGTGACCTGACACCTGACTCAGCAAGCTAAGCATGTGACCTGACACCTGACCAGCAAGCTAAGCATGTGACCTGACACCTGACTCAGCAAGCTAAGCATATGACCTGACACCTGACCCAGCAAGCTAAGCATGTGACCTGACACCTGACCCAGCAAGCTAAGCATGTGACCTGACACCTGACCCAGCACGCTAAGCATATGACCTGACACCTGACCCAGCAAGCTAAGCATGTGACCTGACACCTGACCCAGCAAGCTAAGCATGTGACCTGACACCTGACCCAGCAAGTTAAGCATGTGACCTGACACCTGACCCAGCAAGCTAAGCATGTGACCTGACACCTGACCCAGCATGCTAAGCATATGACCTGACACCTGACCCAGCAAGCTAAGCATGTGACATGACACCTGACCCAGCAAGATAAGCATGTGACCTACACCTGACCCAGCAAGCTAAGCATGTGACCTGACACCTGACCCAGCAAGCTAAGCATGTGACCTGACACCTGACCCAGCAAGCTAAGCATGTGACCTGACACCTAACCCAGCAAGCTAAGCATGTGACCTGACACCTGACCCAGCACGCAAGCATGTGACCTGACACCTGACCCAGCAAGCTAAGCATGTGACCTGACACCTGACCCAGCAAGCTAAGCATGTGACCTGACACCTGACCCAGCACGCTAAGCATGTGACCTGACACCTGACCCAGCAAGCTAAGCATGTGACCTGACACCTGACCCAGCAAACTAAGCTTTGTGACCTGACACCTGACCCAGCAAGCTAAGCATGTGACCTGACACCTAACCCAGCAAGCTAAGCATGTGACCTGACACCTGACCCAGCAAGCTAAGCATGTGACCTGACACCTGACCCAGCAAGCTAAGCATGTGACCTGACACCTGACCCAGCAAGCTAAGCATGTGACCTGACACCTGCCCCAGCAAGCTAAGCATGTGACCTGACACCTGACCCAGCAAGCTAAGCATGTGACCTGACACCTGACCCAGCAAGCTAAGCATGTGACCTGACACCTGACTCAGCAAGCTAAGCATATGACCTGACACCTGACCCAGCAAGCTAAGCATATGACCTGACACCTGACCCAGCAAGCTAAGCATGTGACCTGACACCTGACCCAGCAAGCTAAGCATGTGACCTGACACCTGACTCAGCAAGCTAAGCATATGACCTAACACCTGACCCAGCAATCTAAGGATGTGACCTGACACCTGACTCAGCAAGCTAAGCATATGACCTGACACCTGACCCAGCAAGCTAAGCATGTGACCTGACACCTGACCCAGCAAGCTAAGCATGTGACCTGACACCTGACCCAGCAAGTTAAGCATGTGACCTGACACCTGACCCAGCAAGCTAAGCATGTGACCTGACTCCTGACCCAGCATGCTAAGCATATGACCTGACACCTGACCCAGCAAGCTAAGCATGTGACCTGACACCTGCCCCCAGCAAGCAAAAGCATGTGACCTACACCTGACCCAGCAAGCTAAGCATGTGACCTGACACCTGACCCAGCAAGCTAAGCATGTGACCTGACACCTGACCCAGCAAGCTAAGCATGTGACCTGACACCTAACCCACCCAAGCTAAGCATGTGACCTGACACCTGACCCAGCACGCTAAGCATGTGACCTGACACCTGACCCAGCAAGCTAAGCATGTGACCTGACACCTGACCCAGCAAGCTAAGCATGTGACCTGACACCTGACCCAGCACGCTAAGCATGTGACCTGACACCTGACCCAGCAAGCTAAGCATGTGACCTGACACCTGACCCAGCAAGCTAAGCATGTGACCTGAAAACCTGCCCCAGCAAGCTAAGCATGTGACCTGACACCTGACCCAGCAAGCTAAGCATGTGACCTGACACCTGACCCAGCACGCTAAGCGTGTGACCTGACACACTGACCCAGCAAGCTAAGCATGTGACCTGACACCTGACCCAGCAAGCTAGCATGTGACCTGACACCTGCCCCAGCAAGCTAAGCATGTGACCTGACACCTGACCCAGCAAGCTAAGCATGTGACCTGACACCTGACCCAGCAAGCTAAGCATGTGACCTGACACCTGCCCCAGCAAGCTAAGCATGTGACCTGACACCTGCCCCAGCAAGCTAAGCATGTGACCTGACACCTGACCCAGCAAGCTAAGCATGTGACCTGACACCTGACCCAGCAAGCTAAGGATGTGACCTGACACCTGCCCCAGCACGCTGATCATGTGTGTAGTGATGATTTCGTCGGGTCACATGTCAAATACAATTTATTAGTGACATGCCAGATAAAGATTAAATCCATTTCAAATTCTTTGAATTATAAATGAATCTAATTTATTTGATCGAAAATTAATGTTGATTTTAAAATTCTTTTACGAAACATGGTTCGATTATATTTCAACGATAAACCTGCTTGATGGACTTCTCCGGTGTTTGGAAGATCCGGTGGGCGATCAAAATCTCTCACATAAATACAGCATTAGTTTCTTGTGCAGTTCTAATGCTGTATTTATGATGTTATATTTTTACTTCAAGTCTTTTTCTTGTTTAACCTTAGTAAACTTTACTGCATTTTTATATAGGGAATCTTAAACACAGCGAGTTTTTTTTTTGGGTAATTCTTAAACAAAATTTTTTTACTGTAACTTTTGCTGTATTAATAATACAGTGATTTAAAAAAAATAAGTAAAGAAGTTATATTTAGTAGGTTTTCATGGTAATGGAAAACCATTATTTGCTTGGTTGAATATGTTTTGCCTTTCTCAAATTGACAGATGTATTTCTGGCAGTGTTAAGACTTATCAGTTGTGTTTTTTGTGTATTTTAAATCATTTACTGTTTCATTAACCTTAAAAATTTCTTCATCTATGAACTCTGGGCTACAAGTTCTGAAAAACATAGATGAGAACACAAAAAGTTTAACTCGTGTTGTGGAGAATAATACTGCACATAAGTGAGTTATTTGTTTGTTTTCTGTATGTTTGGAATTTTAAATCATGGTTCCCTTTTATAATTTAGATATGTAGAAAAGGCAATGATTTATTGTGTTCAAATTTAACAGTTAAAAAAAAAAAACATACCACGGGTGGGATTTCAACCAGTGGTCAGAGAGTCACAAAACTCCAGACCGTCGCGTTAGACACAGTTGTGCCTATGCTAACCTTCCTATGGCGTAGAAATACATCTAGTTGGACGAATCTTATTGAAGCTAACTGGCCCAGTGGCTAACGCAACGGTCTGGAGTTTTGAGACTCTCTGACCGCGGGCTCAAATCCCGCCCGTGGTATGGTTTGTTTGCAATCGTGTCATTACGATTTCCTGAGTCATGTTAACAGTAAACTTCATGCAAAAGAGCTAGATTTTTATTTAAATAAGGTATGGTTTATATCTATATTTTGGATTAATATCCATGAAACATCATTAACATATCTGTACCACTTAACTTTATTGGAAAGAATTCTATTAAGCAGTCTCGTCTGAAAATATTCCATATACAAATTGCTGAGAGTGGATTTCTCATTGCCATACCAAACTTCTGGGTAAAAAGTCGTTATTAAATTCTATTTTTTTTCATTAACAATCCAAAGTTTAATAAGCTCAATGATTGTTGCGTGTTTTTCATATGTGTGATCTCATAATTCATAAACTTGAAACTATGTAGAAATTCAACAGATATTCTATACGACTAGAGGAAAAGTGATAAATTGTCTCACCTGGGTGATTGAAGATGTAATCGCGCACCTGAATGTGAAGGTCACCTTTAAGCTCAGCTAGGTCAGCCCCTTCTTTCTGGCACTTTGCTCTGATTTCGGACCATGACCCCTTAGTTATTTTTCCGTACATGTAGAATTGTATGCACACTGGCGTCGTGGGATCTACACTGAAGTTTATGAAATCGCCTGGACAATCCACTGGAGAGGAAGTAACAGTGAATTACGTTAAACATAATGGCGTAAGTGTTATAAAAAGTTGGAACAACTAGCATAATGTTAGCTGAAACTAAAATGTTGCAAATTATGTTCGTTTACATTTTTAATGTAATGAAGTTTCAATTTTCATATTAAGGAAATAAAAGGTTTCACATGAAATACCTTTGTAAAAAGCACATGACTTATACTGTCTAGCTCTAAAGGAACATTAAATTGTTCCGTGTGTTTTCAGTAAGTGTTGAGTGGTCCTGATAAATCCAATGGTTTAGCTCTTATGGTTTCTGATTGTTGCTGCTTCGTTTCTGTGCAATATAATATCATTTACTCTTTACAGAAATGAGCAGAATTATCTTTAGATCAACCCTGAGGATGAAGCCACAATATGAAAATACAATATAATGCTAGTAAATAAATTTGTATTGCTTTTAATATTTTTAGTGCTTAGTTCCTAGGCTTTTTGTGTATCTATATTGTCTTACTCTACCGTCCACAGGATGGATGCGGCATGTACAGTAAGCTAGTAGCTGCGGCAAATGAATTTATTAAGGATTAAAATTGAATTAGAATATCGTACCTTGACGGGAGGGCACGATGAACGCCGCTGAAAAGTAAATTATTTAATTTTATTAGTAAATTCAGATGTATATAGAATTTGTATATAGCCTTGATGGTGACTGTTTCACATTAGGATATTTGCTTTTGTTGCTGATAATGGTGATGGTATAATCAGTGTTTATAGTCGTGATGTTTGTAGAAAGCGGTAGAAGTAGCAGAGATGTAAAGACGATGTATTCAGTCCATCATCCTCGAAAACGTAGTTTTGAGGTGGTCAGTCCCAGATTATGGAGCAGAACTCTTCTCTAGGCTGAACTACTGACTACTTCTTCGAGGATGAATGGACTGATTACGTTGTCTCTATTTCTCTATTGTTTCTACTACCTTATCTGTATTTGAATGAAAAAAACTTCTGTGTAGGTGCAATGTTTCAGAATAAAGATACCTAATTGTTACACTTGTCTTTATCAGTAAGAACATTAGAACATAAGAAAGAAGGAACACTGCAACAGGCCTACTGACCCATGCGGAGCAGGTCCATGTCTTCCCCCCCGGATTAGCCCAATGACCCACCCAGTCTGGTCACCTTCACTCAAGGAAAGAGCACGGCACCAGACCCAGCAGCATAAGCTAGTCAGGTCCAACTCACACCTACCCACACCCACTCATGTATCTATCCAACCTATTTTTAAAACTACACAACGTTTTAGCCTCAATAACTGTACTCGGGAGTTTGTTCCACTCATCCACAACTCTGTTACCAAACCAGTGCTTTCCTATATCTTTCCTGAATCTGAAATTTTCCAAGTTGAAGCCATTGCTGTGAGTCCTGTCTTGGCTGGAAATTTTCAGCACGCTACTTGCATCTCCTTTATTTATTCCTGTTTTCCATTTATACTCCTTGATCATATCCCCCCTAATTCTATGCCTTTCGAGAAAGTGCAGATTCAGGGCCTTCAATCTATCCTCATTGGGAAGATTTCTGATACATGGGATCAACTTTGTTATCCTCCTCTGTACTTTTTCGAGAGCAGTTATATCCATTGTGGAATACGGTGACCAGAACTGAGCAGCATAATCTAAATGAGGCCTAACCAAGTATATATAGAGTCGAAGAACAACCTGAGGACTTATATTATTTATACTTCTAGATATGAAGCCAAGAATTCTGTTAGCTTTATTGCGAACACTGATGCATTGTTGTCTTGGTTTTAGAGTACTGCTAACCAGAACTCCTAAAGCCTTTTCGCAATCAATAGTATTAAGATCTTCATTATTTAGTTTATATGTGGCATGGTTATTTTCTTGTCCAACATTTAGAACTTTGCATTTGTCAATATTAAACTGCATCTGCCACTTCTCCGACCATTGCATCAGTCTATTCGAATCATCCTGGAGTGCTCTAGTGTCCTCATTAGAATGAATTGGCCGGCCTATTTTGGTGTCATCAGCAAAATTGCTGATGTCACTATTTATTCCCTCATCTATGTCGTTTATGTAAATTGTGAACAACAACGGCCCAACACTGACCCCTGCGGAACCCCGCTTGTGACGTGCAACATTTTGATTTCTCCCCATTTATGCAAACTCTCTGCTGCCTATTTGTCAACCATGCCTCTACCCAGGAAAAAATTTCTCCTTCTATTCTGTGTGCTTTAAGTTTCCTCAGTAACCTCTGATGTGGAACTCTATCGAAAGTCTTACTGAAGTCCATATACACAATATCATATTCATTACCATGATCTATGTAAACACCTTAGTGAAAAAATTTAGTAAATTCGTAAGTCAGGAACGCTCCTTTGTAAAAACGTGTTGAGATTCATTACTCAATGTATGCCTATCAAGATGGCTACGAATTTCTTCGGCAATTATTGATTCCATAAATTTTTCCAATATGGAGGTAAGGCTTATTGGACTATAGTTCGAAACCAAGGACCTATCATCATTTTCCACTTATCAGGCACTATGCCAGTTTGTAGTGATATGTTAAAAAGATTAGTTAAAGGTATGCTAAGTTCCTCTTTACATTCCTTTAACACCCTTGCAAACAGTTCATCAGAGCCTGGGGATTTGTTAGGTTTCAGCTTGTCTTTTTGTCTGAGCACCATGTCACTAGTTACTGCAATCGTGCATAGTTTATTATCGTCCCGTTCTACATAATCTATTATTTCAGGAATTTCGCTAGTATTTTCCTGGATAAAAACTGAGAGGAAGTAGGAACTGAAAAATTCACACATATCCTTATCACTGTCAGTGATCTGACCAGAGTTACTCTTAACTATCTTATCCTTAATCTGTATACCTGAAAGAACCCTTTTGGATTAGTCTTCGAATCCCTTGGGACCTTAACCTCATAATCCCTTTTTGCTTTTCTTATTCCTTTCTTTATTTCTCTTTAATTGAATATATTGATTTCTTAACTGCCCATCCCCTCTTTTGATACGCCTATATATGCCTCTCGTTCGACCAATGAGATGTTTTAATCTATTGTTCATCCAATTGGGATCATTTCTGTTAGATCTAATTTCCCTACTCGGAACAAAAGTTGTCTTGGCAGCTAGAACTATGCTCTGAAAAACGTCAAATTGGCAACCAAGATTACCTACCAGACCCATAGTCAGGACATCCCAATTTAGCCCACCCAGGTAATTTTTCAGTCCCATGAAGTCGGCCAAGCGAAAATCTGTGACAGAGATTTGATTGCAGTTATTTGGGTAATTCCATGATATATTGAAACTAAGTGATTTGTGATCACTTTCCCCAAGCTCATCATTAACCTCAAGATTATTAATTAGTGAATCTTTGTTGGCAAGAACCAAGTCAAGCAGATTGTTTCCTCTAGTTGGTTCTGTCACAACCTGTTCTAAAAAGCAATCCTGAAACGTATCAAGAAAGTCACTAGACTCAAGATTTCATGTCATATTGTTCCAATCAATTTGTCTAAAGTTAAAATATCCCATTAACACAACATTTTCATATCTAGATGACTTATGAATTTCGTCCCATAAGAGCTTACCGCACTGCCTATCAAGGTTTGGGGGCCTATAACTCACGTCCAAAAATTAATTTGTCACGACCCTCGAGAAATTGTAGCCAAACAGATTCTGTGTTCGATGTTTCTAATCTTATATCATGTCTAAGACAACAATTTAAATTTTAGCTGACAAACATCGCCACTCCACCACCCTTCCTGTTAACCCTATCACTGTGGAGTAGTTTATAACCCTGCATGTCGCATTCAGAAGGCATTTCTCTGTCTTTCAGGTTGAACTAGGTCTCTGTTATACCAATAATATTTATATTACCTACACTTGCAAGTAATCTTAGCTCATCTATCTTATTTCTTAGACTCCTACTATTTGTATAGTAAACCTTAAGGGAACTAGTCACTCGTTGCCCTCTGCTATCTCTCTTTGTTTGTTGACCAATTGATTTGCCATTACTAGCAACTTTATTTTGAATATTGTCTTTTAAACATATCCCTGAGGTATCCCGGTAATAACTGCTGTTTTTAACCCTAATACTGCAGCCTGATTGCTTCCCACAAACACCCATACCTCTATAATCTATCAATTTAAATTCCTAGACAAGTCATCAATTACCCTCTCAATCGAATTGGCTAATGCAACCACTCCAGCCCCAGAGAGATGAACTCCATTCCTTGCGTACATATGACGTTTGCCATAGAATAGGTCCCAGTTATCTATAAATGGGATTGCAGGTTCCTTGCAGTACCTGTCAAGCCAGCAATTTATACCAATTGCCCTAGACATCGATTTATTGCTCACTCCCTTTCTAGGCAAGATGCTACATATGACTGGGATCCCTCCCTTAGACCTAACTACTTCTATGGCTGACCTGTACTTATCCAGCAGCTCTTGTCTCCTGCCCTTCCTAATGTCATTACCCCTAGCACTAATACTGATAATGGGCTTGTTCCCATTACCTGACATTATATTATCCAACCTGCTGACTATGTCACCAACACCAGCTTTTGGAAGGCACAAACTCTGTCTGATCTTTCTGTCTCTTTTACAAAAAGCACGGTCTATATATCTTACCTGAGAATCTCCTACTATTAAAATATTCTTACCTTGATTAGCAGGGGAATCAGTGGTACCTTCAACCTCACTAACCATTGAAGTGCACTCGTCCTGGAGAACAGAGAATCGATTTCCTACCTTCACATCTTCTCTGTTAACCCTCCTTATCTTCCTTCTTCCTGAACTGTGAACCACTCGCCACTTAAAGCGGCTGCCACTATCACTGCTGGTGACCATTTCCTCCTTACCAGCTAAATCCTTCTCATACTCACTCCCAAACTCATCTAGGCGAAGCTTCAGCCTCCTATTTTCCTCCTGTAGAAGAAGAACCTCCTTCTTCAACACCTGAACCTGAGATTCTAAAACACTACAACAAGCCATGGTGCTTGGTAACACCCCACGCTAACTCCCAGACTGCAGGTGACCACTGACCTCAGCGTATCATATTAATGACTTTACCTCGGATGGCTACGCACATGTAACTTCATGAGAAATTCTGTATTTTTTTATATACATTCGGTAAATTCAACTCTTCTATTACCATCTTTCTCCCTATCCTCTCCTCCCATTCTCCCCGTATCTCACATTCTTCTTTTTTTCCTCTACGATTTTTTAATTTATTCTTCATACTTCTCAGTCTTTTCTCTTCCACCCACATTTCACCACTCCTTCATCCTTCTCACACTCCTCCATCCATCACTTATTTTGCTGCTTCCATCTTTCCAACCCACTTCTATACTCTTTTACACATGCAACTCCACCGTCCTTACTACGCTGGAACACCAATATTTTTCATATCTCTTACTCTTCTTTATCAGTCACACATTTCTTCCCTCACACTCTCCCCACAAATCATCCCAATAGAAGCTAGTACTTTGAAGTTTTAATTATCAGGTTATAAAACAGTCCACCTCTCTCTAGAAACACTACTTTAACTTTTATGAAGAATAAACACAGGTGGAATACATTAAATGAGTTACTTTAGGAACTTTTCTGTACCGAGGACAAAAGTCAGAGTTGCAACACACTTCATGATGTTCTTACGCTGAAAGTGTGTATGAGGCGACCTCGTATGTGTTATATAGTGGCTGCTGGATGCACTAACGCGTCGTGGTACACACCCGCTGTGAAGCACCACCTGCCCTTCAGGTTGCCGTTCTCACTCTTATCTGCGACCCTCAGGTGTCGTGTAGTTCGATCGCTGGCGCACTCACCTAACACACTGAGGTCCGGGGATCGAATCCCCGGCACGACTGGAAAACATTAGGACGTGTTTCCATAAGACACGTTTTGTCCCCATTTAACCATCAGTATAAAATGGGTACTTGAGTGTTAGTCGACTGGTGTGGGTAGCATCCTGGGACAGAATTGACCTAATTTGTCCGAAGTGCTCTGCAAAACGAGGGGCTTTCTGTATAGTAATGTCGTTGATGTCAGCTAAGCCTGTATACCTTGTACATGTACTTGTAGAAATAAGGATATGTACATGTGCATGCACAGTACATATTATTTGTACATGCACTTGTAGAAATATGGGTATTGTTATTATGTATCATTATTCTTATGATTAAGATTTGAAACTATTTTATACATATAAATTTTCACCTACCGTAGTATGTATAGATCTGCTGTTATTCTTTATGGTCGAAATTGCAGGAACAAGTAGGGTTTCAACAACTTTGTCCAAGTATTATCTTTAGGCTCGTGACGATATACAGGATATATAAATATATATATATATATATATATATAATATATATATATATATATTATATATATTATATATATATATATATATATATACATATATATATGTATATATATATATATATATATATATATATATATATATATATATATATATAATATATATATATATATATATATATATATATATATATATGATGTGATCTAGGTAGTAGGTTGGTAGACAGCAACCACCCAGGAAGTACTACCGTCCTGCCAGATGACTGTGAAACAGAAACCTGTAACTGTTTTGCATGATGGTAGGATTGCTGGTTTCTTTTCTGTCTCATAAACACGCTAGATAACAGGGATATCTTGCTACATCCTACTTACACTTTGTGTCACACTTCACAGACACGCACATGCATATATATATACATACATCTAGGTTTTTCCCTTTTTCTAAATAGCTCTTGTTCTTCTTCATTTCTTCTATTGTCCATGGGAAAGTGGAAAAGAATCTTTCCTCCGTAAGCCATGCGTGTCGTATGAGGCGACTAAAATGCGGGAGCAATGGGCTAGTAACCCCTTCTCCTGTAGACATTTACTAAAAAAGAGAAGAAGAAAAACTTTATAAAACTGGGATGCTTAAATGTGCGTGGATGTAGTGCGGATGACAAGAAACAGATGATTGCTGATGTTATGAATGAAAAGAAGTTGGATGTCCTGGCCCTAAGCGAAACAAAGCTGAAGGGGGTAGGGGAGTTTCAGTGGGGGGAAATAAATGGGATTAAATCTGGAGTATCTGAGAGAGTTAGAGCAAAGGAAGGGGTAGCAGTAATGTTAAATGATCAGTTATGGAAGGAGAAAAGAGAATATGAATGTGTAAATTCAAGAATTATGTGGATTAAAGTAAAGGTTGGATGCGAAAAGTGGGTCATAATATGCGTGTATGCACCTGGAGAAGAGAGGAATGTAGAGGAGAGAGAGAATTTTGGGAGATGTTAAGTGAATGTATAGGAGCCTTTGAACCAAGTGAGAGAGTAATTGTGGTAGGGGACCTGAATGCTAAAGTAGGAGAAACTTTTAGAGAGGGTGTGGTAGTAAGTTTGGGTGCCAGGTGTAAATGATAATGGGAGCCCTTTGATTGAACTTTGTATAGAAAGGGGTTTAGTTATAGGTAATACATATTTAAGAAAAAGAGGATAAATAAGTATACAAGATATGATGTAGGGCGAAATGACAGTAGTTTGTTGGATTATGTATTGGTATATAAAAGACTGTTGAGTAGACTTCAGGATGTACATGTTTAAAGAGGGGCCACAGATATTATCAGATCACTTTCTAGTTGTAGCTACACTGAAGTAAAAGGTAGATGGATACAAGGAGAATAGAAGCATCAGGGAAGAGAGAGGTGAAGGTTTATAAACTAAAAGAGGAGGCAGTTAGGGTAAGATATAAACAGCTATTGGAGGATAGATGGGCTAATGAGAGCATAGGCATGGGATCGAAGAGGTATGGGGTAGGTTTAAAAATGTAGTGTTAGAGTGTTCAGCAGAAGTTTGTGGTTACAGGAAAGTGGGTGCGGGAGGGAAGAGGAGCGATTGGTGGAATGATGATGTAAAGAGAGTAGTAAGGGAGAAAAAGTTAGCATATGAAAAGTTTTTTACAAAGTAGAAGTGATGCAAGGAGGGAAGAGTATATGGAGAAAAAGAGAGAGGTTAAGAGAGTGGTGAAGCAATGTAAAAAGAGAGCAAATGAGAGAGTGGGTGAGATGTTATCAACAAATTTTGTTGAAAATAAGAAAAAGTTTTGGAGTGAGATTAACAAGTTAAGAAAGCCTAGAGAACAAATGGATTTGTCAGTTAAAAATAGGAGAGGAGAGTTATTAAATGGAGAGTTAGAGGTATTGGGAAGATGGAGGGAATATTTTGAGGAATTGTTAAATGTTGATGAAGATAGGGAAGCTGTGATTTCGTGTATAGGACAAGGAGGAATAACATCTTGTAGGAGTGAGGAAGAGCCAGTTGTGAGTGTGGGGGAAGTTCGTGAGGAGTAGGTAAAATGAAAGGGGGTAAGGCAGCCGGGATTGATGGGATAAAGATAGAAATGTTAAAAGCAGGTGGGGATATAGTTTTAGGAGTGGTTGGTGCAATTATTTAATAAATGTATGGAAGAGGGTAAGGTACCTAGGGATTGGCAGAGAGCATGCATAGTTCCTTTGTATAAAGGCAAAGGGGATAAAAGAGAGTGCAAAAATTATAGGGGGATAAGTCTGCTGAGTACACCTGGTAAAGTGTATGGTAGAGTTATTATTGAAAGAATTAAGAGTAAGACGGAGAATAGGATAGCAGATGAACAAGGAGGCTTTAGGAAAGGTAGGGGGTTTGTGGACTAGGTGTTTACAGTGAAACATATAAGTGAACAGTATTTAGATAAGGCTAAAGAGGTCTTTGTGGCATTTATGGATTTGGAAAAGGCGTATGACAGGGTGGATAGGGGGCAATGTGGCAGATGTTGCAAGTGTATGGTGTAGGAGGTAGGTTACTGAAAGCAGTGAAGAGTTTTTACGAGGATAGTGAGGCTCAAGTTAGAGTATGTAGGAAAGAGGGAAATTATTTCCCAGTAAAAGTAGGCCTTAGACAAGGATGTGTGATGTCACCGTGGTTGTTTAATATATTTATAGATGGGGTTGTAAGAGAAGTAAATGCGAGGGTCTTGGCAAGAGGCGTGGAGTTAAAAGATAAAGAATCACACACAAAGTGGGAGTTGTCACAGCTGCTCTTTGCTGATGACACTGTGCTCTTGGGAGATTCTGAAGAGAAGTTGCAGAGATTGGTGGATGAATTTGGAAGAAAGAAGAAAATTAAAGGTGAATACAGGAAAGAGTAAGGTTATGAGGATAAGAAAAAGATTAGGTGATGAAAGATTGAATATCAGATTGGAGGGAGAGAGTATGGAGGAGGTGAATGTATTCAGATATTTGGGAGTGGACGTGTCAGCGGATGGGTCTATGAAAGATGAGGTGAATCATAGAATTGATGAGGGGAAAAGAGTGAGTGGTGCACTTAGGAGTCTGTGGAGACAAAGAACTTTGTCCTTGGAGGCAAAGAGGGGAATGTATGAGAGTATAGTTTAGAATGTATGAGAGTATAGTTGCAGCGAGGAGAAGGCTGGAGACAGTGGAGATGTCATGTCTGAGGGCAATGTGTGGTGTGAATATAATGCAGAGAATTCGTAGTTTGGAAGTTAGGAGGAGGTGCGGGATTACCAAAACTGCTGTCCAGAGGGCTGAGGAAGGGTTGTTGAGGTGGTTCGGACATGTAGAGAGAATGGAGCGAAACAGAATGACTTCAAGAGTGTATCAGTCTGTAGTGGAAGGAAGGCGGGGTAGGGGTCGGCCTAGGAAAGGTTGGAGGGAGGGGTAAAGGAGGTTTTGTGTGGCGAGGGGCTTGGACTTCCAGCAGGCATGCGTGAGCATGTTTTGATAGGAGTGAATAGGAGACAAATGGTTTTTAATACTTGACGTGCTGTTGGAGTGTGAGCAAAGTAACATTTATGAAGGGGTTCAGGAAACCGG